CACACATTTATTTGTGTGGATCCAATCTCTACCAAGTAAGGCATTGTACTTTGCATTGCTATCGATGACGAAAAACGCCGTCATGCAGTCCTTGGTTCCCACACTCAGGTTGATGGGTAGAATTCCCTGGGCCATCTGCTTGTCTCCGGCAAAACCAGCGATGGTTGTACTGGTTGGGATCAACCTGGGATTCCTCTTCCCTAATTTCTTCAAGGAAGATTTCGGTAATAAGTTCACCGCCGCTCCATTATCCACCAAGACTCGGTTTAACAGAACTCCATCGAAGAAAGCCTCAATGTACAAAGGCTTAACATGCTGCGTCATGGAATTCGAGGGATATTCAAATGGATACGAGAGGTTAATGCTTACCACTTCCTCACTCTCATATTTAGCTTCCATCGGAGTAACCATTTCGAAATTATCTTGTACCATACTCGCTTGTGAATCTTCACTAGAGATCGGAATTGGATCTGCTTCCTGCCCCTCTTGATTCTCATCTCCAGCTTGGAATTCCTGTGGTAGTATGTGTACCATGTTCACTGATACTGGGGGAAACGAGCCAAACTGGATGGCTGGCTGTACTCGCTTTCCCTCTTGGTCACCTTGGTCAATTTCTTCAGAAACATCCTGCATGATGTATTCTGGTATTTCATTGCTAACTGGTCCCTTCGAATGATTTTCCTCAGCTGGCTTTCCAACCAGAAATGTTTGCTCAGCCATGAAGGCTTCGAACATTTCTTCTTCCACCATTTCTTTCTTCTGGCTTACGCCACTATCTCCTTCCGTTTCGCTACCACTCTCCATCAGAGCTCTCTCCATCCCTGCTAGACTTTCCTTCTCTCTGGCCTTTAGTTCAGAATGAACCTTAACCAACTGTTCTCTGCTGCGATCTACCTCGTTTTGTGTACCTGGCTTTGAATTATGGTCTGACTTTCGATTTTTCTTTTCTCCAGTCTGGGTCATCGAAGAACTCTCTCCACTTTCTTTCAGGTCTCTCTGGTATTGGGTGTACCTACGCTGAATTTTTCTCCTTTGTGATCTGGAAACAACGGGGACCATATCTGGTTCCCTTGTTCTTGGGTGTTTCAGCAATACCCAATTGTTGGGAGCCACCAAAGGAGGCTTAACCATCCTACTTTGATTTCCAAAATTCCTTTGGGAAGACATTTCCCTGGGTTTGTTTTGCATCACAAACCAATCTGGGACTCCAGGTACCCACGAACTTACTGACCCAGACGTTGAACCGCCTCTTTCTTCTTTCGAGGTCACCTTCGAGGCTGGCTGTGAAGACAATTGTTTGGCCCTGTCTTCAAGCTTTAAGCCTGATTCAGGTTCTTGGTGATGGTGATCATTTTCTGTCCTTCGTGAAGCTGGCCTAAGGGGCCAATTCCTAGCTTTGATACCAAAACCTGAACTCTTCTCCAACCTTCTTTCAGGATGACTACTCTCCAACCTGTAATAGTTAGGAGATCTGGACTCATAAAAAGGTCTCTTGCCTTTAGCATACATTCTACCAACTGCAGGTTCAACCACTAATGGCTGCTGCCTGACATTAGCCGGATACGGCCTTTTGTTATAAGCATTGGTTGGTTTGGGACGCCTCTGCACATCCCTGTAATACTGCTTCCCATCGACTGGAAGGTCCTTCAACCACGTATAACTCAGTCTGCACCTGGGACACATTCGTTGCATCACGGCTGCTTCTAGGGAATCATCATCCAGTGCTTCTTCATCAGAGTCTTCCTTCTGATGTGGGAACTCTCGTCGCATGGCTGGTGGACTTCTAAGGTCTTTTTTGGTTGCTGTTTGGTTGGCCACATGCATCTGTACATTGACTTCCTCCAATTCTTTTAGAGACAAGCTCTGAAAGTCTGACATGATGACATTGGCTGCCACCTCTCCAATTTCTGGAAATGGATTGCTATCGATCCCCATGGCTTTTTCAGCTTTGGCTGGGAACTTCAAACTCCCCTTTCGAATTTGTTCTTGGATCGTGTCTCGAAAAACAACACAGTTTTTAGTCGAGTGAGACCAAGAATTATGCCATTTGCAATATATTTTTCCTTTAAGTTCATCAAGAGATGGAATTTTAACACCCTTTGGTAACTTAAGGAAGTTGGCTGCAAGCAAATGATCAAAAATGTCATCTGCCTTAGTTAAGTCGAAAGAATATTTCCTGTGGAGATCTTTCTTTTTAAACTGCTGGTCAATTGTTGTATCTTTATGGATTAATGCTTCACAGATCATAGGCTCTTTTCCCACAATCTCTGCTGCATCAATCTCATAATTAGGATCCTTGTAGTATGTCCTATATGATGCATTATTTCGATCCTGTTCTTCTTCTAGTAATGCTTCATATCTAGATACTTTATAAGTCAGTTCCACTAAATCTCTAAACTCTGTTGAATCAAACTTCTTTCGAAGCCTGAACTCTAGGCCATTTTGGGCCAATCTTACAAATTCAGTTTCTGGCAAGATTACTCTACATTTATTTCGAGCCCTCTTAAATCTGGAAATAAACTGAGTGGCCTTCTCTTCAGGCCTTTGACTTAATCTAGCCAAGTCTGCCATGGAAACTTCTGGCTCTGATTGGAAGAACTGGACATGAAATGCCTCTTCCATTTACTGCCAAGTCTGGATGGAGCCAGGTGGAAGGTTAATATACCACACAAATGCTCCTCCGGTTAGAGAATTTGGGAATAGTCTCAACTTTATATAGTCGTGATTGGTAAATTCTCCACATTGAGCGGCAAACCTAGCAATATGTTCTACTGTTGATTGGTTTCCGTTCCCATGAAAGAGGACAAAATCTGGTATCCTGAAACCTCTTGGATATTCATGTACCTCGACCCATTCTGGGTATGGTTTTCTATACACAGGGGTCTGGACCCCCCGAGCCATTGGTCCACACAACTCCCTAACTATCTCAGTGATCTGGTCCCTAGGGACCATATTTTGCGCCTGCTGAACCACCACTGGGGGAACAAACACAGGATTTGGTGGACAAACTTGTGCTTGTGATCCTCTTGGTCCATAAGGTGGTACATTTGGGACTGGCTGTCCCTGTGGTAGAGGGTGCTGTTGGGGGTGTAGGTAACCCCTTTGAGTCTGTCCTGCGAAAGGACCCACGAAAGGTACTGGAATAGGTATTGTATCCCTTCCACTTGTAGGAAAACCTTCCAACCCCCCGGGTAAAAATTCGAATACAGGATTATTGTACCCCCTGGTGCCAGGTATGGCTTCGAATGTGGGATTTGGACTCATTCTTATGCCATTTTCTTGTACCGGGCCAGATCCACCAATCTGCATGGCTTCACTGTTGAACATTGAGGCATTCTGGCCTGCTACAGGCCTCGAAATGGGTTCGTACCAAGACTGAGGTGGTAATCTTTCATGAATCTGATTACTGGTTTGACCATTAGAATGTCCATTAGCTTGCATAGGCTGTTTGTCTCTAGCCAATCTTTGCTGAGGGACATTCACTTCCTCTATGTGTCTTACATTCGTTGGTTGGTGGTTATTCATTCGATCCAAAAAGGATACTGCCCACCTTTCCATTGTGTTTATTAATTGCTGTCCCATGACATCTATCAAGCCGCCCCACGGATTGACTGGCTGAGTAGATGGGACACTGGATGGTCTAATTCCTTGGTCTCGTCCACTATTACGAACAAATGGTATTTGTTCTGAAGTATTGGTCTGTTCGACCATAGGTTCCGAAAGGATAGGAGCCTCCATAGGATGTGTTATCACATTATCCTCTGGATTGGATGTCTCCACCTCTCCTTCCACGCCTTCTTCCAAACGTTCATTTTCTCCTTGTCTCCTACGTCTAGCCATTTTTTTATATGTGTCCCACCGGGCGTGCCAAAAATATATGTTGGCTTTTTTGGCTTTCGAAGGTTATTTTTGTAATTATAAGCGTGCCAGCAAGGATCAATCAGTCCTTACAGAATTGTAATTGCCAAACAATTATTCAGACGATTGTGTTATGGTTCTTTCGGCCTCAATAAAGAGGACTTTTACTGGTGGCTTACTGGTAAGTTGACTTCAGAAAACTTGAACATAAGAACAATTACATGAACTGAAATATTTCATTAGTATGAAAAACTTACAATGATCTTAGTTCCGTAGAGAATTACAGCGGCAATATACTGGAAAACTACTCCTACAAATGAAGTGCTGCGCAGAAACTTAAAGTACAGAAATATAAAGGACAGGAAATAACACTGGACTATGTAAAGTAATTCTTTAGATCTTTTGCCCTCCCTTCTTCTGAAGTCCTTCCTGCTATTTATACTCTCCGAAGATAACCATCGAATTGTACTTCAAACCGTCGAACTGCTCCTCCGTAGTCGCTGATCATGCTACCTTATAAGTAGTTCCACTACGCCTTCACTTGCAGTTAGGCTTCCCCCTTATATTCGAATTTGAAATGTGAGCAACCGTTGAAGCCACGTCACTATACGTCTCTTTGTTGATCTGCTACTACTCAGATCTTATAACAACCAATATTAATCGCCACGTGTATGATCAGGATCGAAGACCTGCCTGGTCTCCCCATATTACCCTCACTTCGCCACGCGTCGGATTGTCACTGGCTTAGTACAAAATGTGTAGCCAACAACATCATATATATCATATTACACTCTTCCTAGCTGCTTCATTGATATGATATTTTCACCCAATTCAGGTATATGTTTCCAAACTCTGTGGAAAATGCTAATGACAACCCAAATAATGTCTTGATGAGAGCAAGGAAAAGTGTTTAAAATATATTATAGAAAAATGCTTGAAAACATGTAAAATTGTTCAGAAATGTATGAAATGTCACTATAAGAAAATAAGATATTAGAAACAAATTTTTAAGAACAAAAATAATTTGTCAGCCAAAAATATACTTTTAAAGGCAAAATGAAAATATTTAAAATATATATATATATATATTTAATTATGTTATTATATTTTTGAAATAAGTCTATTTGGTTGCAGAAGGGTTAATGAGTTTTTACCTCCAATTTTGGTTGGTCCCCAATAAACTCGACTCGACTCATACATTATTTTAATTCTTTGAACTTCAATAGTCGGGATTCATTCTTTGAACAATGGCTCTCTCTCTATCTCGATCGATCGAATCCCTAATTTCCTTCTCCATAGAATCTGTGGTTTGTTGATTTCGATCCCTAATCTGATCTTAGAGACTCCTGATCTGCACTTCTAATCGGTGGTTTGTTGATTTCATCCCTGAGGAGTCTCATAGTGTCTCTCTTGTCAGCGATTTCAGTATCCAGGTTTGATCGATTAATCGATTTTAGTCTCATTGATTTGGTTTTCGATCTATTGTTTGCATTTGTTCTTCGAAAATGATTGTTTATCAGTGTAATGTTTGTGTTGATTGTGTAGTATCAACAACGGCCTTTTCAACCCTGAGTCTATCTTTGAGGAACAACACCAGTGGCAACAAGAGCAAGAACGCTGTAGCATCATCTACATCTCTTCGTCAGAAAACCCTAAGTCTGATCTTGGAACTGAAGGAATTGGCCTCTTCGCTCTTGGACTCCGCTAAGCGCCATCTCGATCGCTTGCATTAGGAGATCCTCAAGGACCTCGAGGTCTCTCTCTCTCTCGTCTCCATAAACGATTAAAGGTCCCTCTCTCTCTCTCTCTCTCTCTGAAATTTTATTGTGATGTGCTCTAATTGCTTGACCGAAATTTCACCATAGAACTACAGGTTGAGTTTTGATTGTTCTATCTCTGTTTCTGTGTGAGCACGCACAAGCGTGTGCTCCTCTGCATTGTTATTATTATTATTTGTAATCTCGAGTTCACTTCCAGAAAAGAAAAAAAAAAAAATTTGCAGAATGAGAGGTTGAAATGTTAGGTTCGTTATCTATCTATCTATACTATACTATATATATAAGCAAATGTAGTGATCTCTTAAAAAATTCAAAACTCTCAATCTTAACATCTTATGAACCTCTTTCCTACGTGGCACATCCATTCTTCTCTCATTTTATTTTCCTCTTTTTTCTTATTTTTTTTATATTTTTTATTTCACTTTTTAATTATTTATGGCATGGATATAAAAGATTTTCAAAATATTTAAAAATAGAAGATGAGTTTGACTCTAATTCAAATTTCTTCATCAAAACCCTCAATCCTAACATCTCATGAACCTCTTTCCTACGTGGCACATCCATTCTTCTCTCATTCTATTTTCCTATTTTTTCTTATCTTTTTTTATATTTTTTATTTCATTTTTTAATTACTCATTGCATGGATATAAAAGATTTTCAAAATATTTAAAGATAAAAGATTTTCAAAATATTTAAAAATAAAAGATGAGTTTGACTTTAATTCAAATTTCTTCATCAATTTATGTCTTACCCAAGGATATTTGAAATAAATAAATAAATAAATTTATAAATCTCAAAACCTAACTTCTATGACAATATGAAATTAGGCAAAAAGATTGGAGAACAAAAATAACGTTCTAAAGAAATTAAACGGGTGATTTAACCAATTATGCAAGATTTTTAGCATCTTATGTGAAAAGAAGCACATGTTTTAAATATCATATTGTGTTTTTTGCTCTCTTTTACTTTTACAATTTATCTAAGTTTCTCTTTCTATATTCGTTTAATTTATCTTCAAATTTGCATTTGATTTTTTTTTTAATCTTTATCTTATATTTACAGGATCGATTTTTGCTTTTGATTTTCAATTAAGTTTTTCTATTTTTATCTGATTTTCACTTTCTATATTCTTATAATTTTTTATTCTTTCTTATTTCAATTAAGTAGCTTTAGAAGACAAAATTTGATTAAAGTATAGGTAGTAGACACAAAATAGAGTTAAAATTTGTATAAGAAGATAACATAATTGCTTATTTTTTAACTACACAAAATTTAAATTTTAAAAAATTATAAGTGGCACTTAAATCTTATCTGATTTTTAACATACTACCTCGATTTTATTTTAGTTTTTCTTTTACAAATTTTAGAAAATTATAAGTGGCATTTCACTCTTATCTAATTTTTTAATTATTACCCTCTCCATTTCTTCTGTTATTAGAGTTATATTAGATTTTATTTTTCTTTTCAAGTTTGTCTTATCTTATTTTTTAATTTTAAATTTCAACTTCTTTTTTTTTAGTTTTGTCGTTTTACTTTTGATGTATTACATGCAATTTCAAGCCAAGGGCTTAATGTGTAAACGAGTTAGAACTCCTTG